AATAATGCTTTTAGGGCCTACCCAGTACATATTATCCAGTTATTATTACTTTTTCTTCATATCCTACTATTTTTTTGTCCCCTGATCATTTTTTATTCTCAGAAACCATTCCCTTTCACAAGTTTTCATAAAAAGTGTAGCTCTAAGCTTCACTCTAATTAGTTCAATGTGTCACCTCCAAAGTTATACTAATTTGTTCATCGTGGTCAAATTAGAATTAAAGTATAATATGCTTATAAAATATCACAAATATTTAGTCTCAGGACCTATCAATACTGTCAGTACAACTTTAATACATGCTTGTTTATATTTTTGTTGATAATTCTGGCAACAGTTAAAACTCATTACTATTTACACTAGTTTATAAAAATTAATGTTTATTCTCTTACTTGAGATTGTGTGTGTGCACACGTGTGTACCGCCAGATGAGAATTTGAAAATATACACCAAAGTGAAAAGAATTGCACCAAATTTAATCCAAAATGTATGGCTTAGTAATTTTAGAAGTTTCCATAAACAGACTCATGAAATGGGCCAAAATCTCCATATTACTGTCAAAATATGTAATCCAAAATAATGCTGCATTTAACTTAAGTCATTTATCAGTTTTAGGGCAGTATTTATCAAAATCAGATTTCTAGTGAAAGGAAGTGCAGACCTTTCAAGAAACAAGCATCTGCAGTATCTGGCCCAATATCTATACATATAAAACCAGCTACTAGATAACTAATCTATTAAAACAGCAGTTACAATTTTATTTCAAATTAGTTACTTCCACTAAAGCTTCTTTTTATATGCAGGTTAAAAATTACAATGAACCACTAAATTCATACTCCTTTAAACCTACAGAATTACAACTTGTATGATTTTCCCAGTGCTACCTGATGCACCACTGACCAAAGGTGTTCAGAACACATGTAGCAATCATGGGTAGTGTATACTGCCAATAATTTAAGAAAAATAATGTGCTTATGCAGTGAGAATTCTTTCTAGTGAAAATATAATCTTAAAGGAGTATATTTATGTAAAATAATGAAGAGTTCCCAAATACTCATTAATGGATAAATGATAAAGGAATAAAGGATAATGATACTACTTAATAAGTTCAAAACAGAGAAGAAGGAATATCAAAGTAAATACTGTCACAGATTTTTTTATACTATATAATAGTCTCTTGTTTCCACCAAATGATTCATTATGGTTAGCTCCTAATAATTTTTATATTTCAATGAGCTTCCTATAATCCAAGCTTCCTATAACCCAACAGGGTTCTCGATATGCCCTTCATGTTCATGATTTTCCTTTATTATGTGTTTTCACCAGATTCTAATTTATTCAAAGTCAGACACTATATCATATTCATTACTTCTACCCTATTGAGAAAGAAAGTACTAAGGAGATCTAAGCTCTTGCCTTGGCTCAGTCTTTCTTTCACTAGTCAAGTTGTCAGAGAGAGAGAGAGGGAGAGACAGAGACAGAGAGACAGAGAGAACTTAAGTTAAATTGAATTTTGTCAACAAATATCAATTTATAACACAGAATAAATTAGCTTTTTTCCTTAGAGCAAACATGTCTAGAAATTTATTGCAAGAATGTGCTAAATAGTTTGCTTGCCAGTGTCAGAGAAAATGGAGCTAGAGAGACAGTTCAAGCTACTTTGATGCACAGGCCAATCTGGCCTGGCCCACCCATGGCTATACCCACTGAAACATGAGGTAGAGATTCAGAGATGTCAGGAGCTGCCTTTAACACTTGCTTTTCAGGAAGTAAATAAATAGGTGACCCCAAGGTGCACTAATTTCAATCAATTTTGAATCCCAATAATGTCCTCAAACACTATCTGTGTATTTCTATTTTCCCCTCCAAATCTTCTCTCCCTTGTTTGGCTTTCTTCTCTGTGTCCTAGAAAAAATAACCTCTATGGATCTGAGCACTAACCCCTTGCACTCTGGCCTGTAACCGAGGTACACCTGGGAGCAAAGAATAGACAGAAGAAGGGAGGCTGTGTCACTGGGATATCTGGTTCTCTCCTTTGGGGTTGTCACAGCACCCTCAATGATGTGTTCTTCCACTGGTGAAGAATGCACTTCCTCTTGGGGTCCTTGTGCCAACAGTAGTTTCTTCTGGATTTCTGCAAATACTTCCTTTCCTTTGGTTCTTTAACCCCATATTCTTTTTCTATAAGTAGTTTCAAGATTCTGAAAAGTCCTTGAAGATTTTTCTTACTCGGCTTTTGTAGTGTTCACTTATTAAACATTCCTTATACAATTTAAACATTCATTATTACTCTTCTGGAACCATGACTGAAAAACACTTCAAAAACATCTCGAGGCAAGAGTGAATTTTCTAATGTTCTTTACTCATCCTTGAGGAGACCAAGTCGGGAAGAAACGGATTATGTATGTGGCATAACTGATTTTGAATTCTTTTCTAATTTGCCCTAAACCTGAGGTTTACATTATAAACACAAGATTATGAGCAAAAGGCTTAAGCTTGATAAATGCAGTGTTGTGAAGGCCATCAAGCTCTCTAGCTGAAAATTTTCTTCATCTATAGAGTGTTTAATATTAGTATTTTATATTACATAAGTCTTGCTAATAGTCATCTGAAGTTATCCAAATTGAAATACATGTATATTAAAATAGTGTGCTAATACTGGTTATTATTACTAATGTTAAGATAGTTCCTCAAATTTCATATATTTTCTTCTGATAATAAATATTTTAAAAGATGAGGCAGAAAGAAAAACAAACTTTATCAGAACAATTTTTAAAATATTTTAAATCCAAGGCTTAGTTGAGTGTAAGTTTTGGTGGTGATTTGAATCACTATCCAGATATTTGACTTATAGTAGAGTGTATTAGAAATAAATATATTTACTCTATATTGTGAAAGAACATCTACTACTTTACTCAGAATGTACAATGTTTAACAAACTGTTCTTTGTGAATATTTGAAATGTAAATTTTAATAATTGAAATGCATCTACTGAAATACAGAGGGAAAGCACATGAGTAATGTGCAAGGAGAATTAAATATTTATTCCAATGAAATTATTCCTAAAGAGCTGCTTGGGTCTTAGTGCTATGAAAAGTGTTGTGAAATGCAAGACTTTATATTGACAAAAATTTTAATGGGGAAGTATGCTCAAGGAGAGGAATCATTATTATTACTATCATTTTTATATTTACCATTTCTTTTATGAAGAATCTTTTGTCAGTTTTGATGGTAGAAAATCCTATGTTAATCTCTGGATTAACCTACTTTATTTACTTCAAATAACATTGAAGCATGTATTTTCACTAATGAAACAGATTTATAATAAGTTTGTACAGATTTTAAAAGAGAGCATAACTTTGATTAATGTGTCTTTGAAAGACATTAAGTGTATGACTACAGTGGAGGGCAATTAGCTGTATTACTTGAAACAAAAGTCTTCAACCAGAACATTTCTCTTTAAAATTAAAAAAAAATTTAAAGAAAATTCATATTTAAATGCCATGATTTTTAATTAGCACATTGAAGTTACTGTGAGACAGGAGTTGAGAAACTTTTTTTTTCCATAAAATCAGATAGTAGATATTTAAGCTTTATGTGCCATTTGATTTTGTTGTCCCTGCTGGAGTCTGGGAGTCACACACCTGATGTAAATGATGTGGCTGTGGCTGTAGTTTGCCAATACCCTATATTTTGATTGGATGTAAAGAATCCTTTTTAAAGACATTTTTAGCATATACTTAAAGGGTTTCCATTGGAAGAAAATCCACTTTGGACCAAACACGAAAAGGATAATAGAGATGATGTTATTACTGAATAACAATATAGTGTTTCTGCACTTTAAACAAGGTGGAGTTTTTGTTTTTCAGGTCCCCAATTCTCTTTTGTGAAAGGAGCATTTTCTGCTATTGGAACATGGCCAATCACTTTGCCTTCAGACTAGTCCTGTGTAATTGAAAAATAAGGGTATTCACAGTTAGAGGTACAAAAATTCAATTTTAGCCTACAGAATATATGAAGTGTGCTGAATGAAAATCCTAACCAATATGTATTGTTCTCAATTCACCTAAGAAAGAGTATCTGGAAATTCAAATTAGGATTAAATCACAAATTTTTAGAATTATCCAGATGTTCACAGACAGCAGCAAAAATTACATATATATATATATATATATCACTTATCTTCACTTGATCACTAATAATTCAATTCTTTCTCAAAAATCTCTATCAAGAAGAAACTTTTAAATACATTTCATAATTTGAAAAATGTGAAATATGGATCAGAAATTAATGCTGAAGTTGTGATCACATATGCTACAATAATAGAGGGAGATATCAACATGAAAATTATCAAAAAGGACACATTTTAAGAGAAAGGAACATGAAACTTTATTTCACAAGTTATAGGCTTTATTTTGTACGTAGAATCATGAATGTACAGAACACATTGAAAAATTAAAATCTTTGCCACACATAAATGCTTCTCAAAAAGATAAAGCAGAAACTGAACAAAAGCATTTTCATCACAAGCCAAAAAACTTTACTAAATAAAATGACTACACACAGTTGATACAAATAATTACTATTACAGCGATTTATTCAGACCTCAATTTTTGCACTTAAGTAAATCATGTCCAAAAAGTTTGTTCTTAACCCATTGCTGCTTAATGGTATTTCAGTTATCACAGTCACAAAAATTCACAGAACCAAAGGGTCCAAGTACATTTCATTGTTCAGCAATAAAAAATTATTTATTAAGACGAATATTTCAGAAATTAAAGGTTGAAAATGTTATCAATTTCCTGTATTCTTCTGGTCCCACAATAGCCTCTTTCTTTTCACAGTTCTCTTTTTCCCCCTCCCTTTTCCTAGAATATATATGTATATATATATATA